TGAGAGAGGTTGAACTGTTCTTGGATTTTCCCATGAGCTGAGTTAATTATTTAATTAGATTATAAATTAATGATTTGGCCAAGTATATAGGCAGGGATTTGCGCTTCTGCTAAAACAAACTTCAATCAATTTTCGAAACTTTTTTCATGCAAGAAAAATAGGTATTAATTGTTTGTTTTAGTTACGTTACATTAATGTTTCAAATTGACTTTCCTACCTTATTGGAAATATTTTTCTTTATTTTTACAAAGTTTTTATGAGATTATTATATCGATTATTTCATACGAGTCTTGAAACATCTTATATCATTGCTTTGTTACAATAAATGTAAATTTTGATGGTATTATTGTCGTTTTTCTCCTCTTCCTTCTTCGTGGTCTTCTTTTCGTGCCCATCTTTGTAGTTGTTGACGCCGGCATTGTTGTTGCCTTCGTCTTTTTCTCTATTGTTTTCCCCGTCTCTTTTGTCTTTACGTCTCACTTTCCTTCCCCTCCTTATGGTGTTCGGTGGCGGGATTGTCATGGCCCTTTTCTTATATGCCTTCTTAATTCGTCTTTGTCTTATCGTCTTCCTCCTCGCTTCATTTTCTGTTTTCTTTGCTTTCCTTACTCTATTTTTTCCCTTATGCACCTACGTTCTCCGTTTCTTTATCTCTCCATCTCCTCCTCCTCGTCCTCTGTTTTCTAATCATCGCCCGCCTGTGGCTTTGGTTCCACATCCTCTTACATGTTTTCCTTCTTTATTCCTTATCCTCCACCTCATCTTTTTCCCAATTTGTTTTGGAGACACAGGGACCGATAGTGGGGTTAGGAGGGAGTCTAAAAAGCGAAAGCACTTCCGACGGAAGTGTTTGGTATTTGTTACTATATGCTTAACGTATGTTTTTTTTTAACTGAGACTAGGCAGACGTCCGTTATCTTAGCGCAAATCAGGGTCGTCGTGTTATCGTTCCGACCAAAACTACTAATAACATAAAAATACTTACACAATGGAGAAAATTGCTTTTGGAGGGATAACCACCAGTGCGGTAGCACTCCTATAGTGCACATATTCGCTTGAAAGATTAACCCAAGGTATGAATGGTCCCTTTAGAGACGTGTTATAGTACGCTGGACTTCAGAACGAGCGGTTTAAACGTGAGCCCTTAACGGGGTCACTAAATTGCATTCCTGAGCAAGACGCAGTCCTACAGTGCTTCTTCACTCAGGTGAACAAACGGGTTCAAGAAAATTTAATGCTGGGTTTAGACCTGCAATGGACTAGCATTTCAGCAAAGAGGGATAACCTTGGGCAGTATGAACACCCACTAACTTAGTAAAGAAACTGGTCACAGTTTTTAAGTAACGTTTTCTTTTCAATACAATTTCAACAAAAATTATTTTTCTATTATTTTATGCTCAGAGGCAGTTCATATTAATACAACACTCACATATGAGCTGCTGAAACTTTTTCTAGTATTCTGTAAAAAATAATAAGACATTTTTCACTGACGCGATGATCAAGGACAACAGTCTCCAATCACAGCTGAACGAACTAAAATTGAAAAGAGCTGCATTTGAAAATGTTCTGTCAATAATCTTTGGGAATGACTAGAATCATCATGCTATGTTACTCCAATCCTTTAAGGACCAGGTGAAATCCACGACCTCAAATGCTTAAGGGTATGTCCACTGGGATACCCTATTTTAAAATCATACAGGTCAATGTGCCAATACTATTGTGGTCGGTCATTGTTCATTTTACTCAGTGTTTGTGGTGGTGTTTCTTGATTTCCTTCCTCTTGCTAAGTTTACTCAGTAACTTGTGTACTTTTCCCATCTTTGTGCGTTTCTGTGCCCCTCCTGGCATTCCTCCACCGATGGCTCCTTGAAGAGCATTTTGCATAGGACCACCCATGGGGCTTCCCATCTGGCCTCCTATTTCCTGAGCTCCGCCAAACATGGCTGCACCACCAGCATTCTCCATTCCTCCCATGTTAGGCATCCCTAAGGAAAGATTGGGATTGCACATAAAACGTTGAGATCTTACTTGGTGGATTGGACCTTTAAACACGCTTGGCTGTTAATTAAAGCTAGCTCTTGAGCTATCAGCATTTTGGCTGCATGATGGTAGTGAGATAATCTCTGGTTCAACCGTCAAAGCTCCAAATTGCGATATTACCCGCTATTTCCACGACAGTGTTTCCAGATACATTCCCACATGTTATTTCTCTCATGTTTGTTGTACAAATCATCATCAAATAAATTTAGAAGACTATTACCAGAGGGAACCCAGCTGCTGCAACTTGCAGCTGAGTTTTCATCGACTATAATTCTACAAAAGTCGAAAGGGCGCTAATGAAATCGTCAGTAGTCAAATAGATAAAATTGCACGGCATGATAAGTCGTAAATGGCACATTTCCAAATTTCGGAATGCAAACTACAATTTTTTGGTTGTTGTAACGGTTGGTTTAGACTTTTTAGATGCAGAGCGTTAGGAGTAATGTTGGGTTGTAGGCTTGAGGTTAGTTTTAGTAAGGGTATATTCTCCGCTGTTGCAGTCTGCAAATGTGAAAGGCTGGTCCCTTCTCAACCATCTCGCAACGGAGTAAGTCTACCTCTATGTCAAGACACGTGTTTATGGTCTTACCTCCTTCCATGTTCATTCCAGCGATTCCACCGCCCATGCCTCCAAGGCCTCCCATTCCGCCCATGCCACCCATTCCTCCCATCGAGGTCATGCCTCCCATGCCACCCATTCCTCCCATACCGCCCATTCCGGCCATGCTTGGCATTGCGTGCATGCCACCTCCCATGCCTAAAAGAAAGGATATTATTGAGAACCATGTATCAGCAATAGGAAAAAAGCCGCTGTTTCGAGATCTATACAAAACAATGAGACTGATGCAATGGCACGTATCCGTTTTCTACACCTTGCAACACTTACGTTTTAGAACAATCACATTCCAGCAATTGTTATTTCGCTCACACTTCTCGCTCTCTGTGAGTTCAGAAACCACAATTCGTGACACTTTTCGTTTGATTTTGGCGGCAGTTGAGAATGGTTATCAACAAGGACGACTTACCAGTTAGCTGTTTCTCGTCCCATCCCGACTAAGAATCGAGTAACACATACCTCCTTCTCCTCCTTCGATAAACTGCTTAGACATCAGTCCACCTTCCGATGGGCCTCCAGCTCCTCCCATGGGCATCGGCATTGGTCCTCCCTCCATGCCTTGCATTGAAGCCGCTGGTCCAGCCATACCTCCACCTGGCATTTGCATGGGCCCACCCATTAGTGATGGCATACCTTCCATGGTGGCTCCACCACCCTCACCAATCGAGGTGGCCCCTGCGCCAAAGCCCATGCTGAGGTCACCTGTTCCACCCATGCCGCCTCCCATACCGTTCATTCCTGATGCAAATTGGAATCAATATTGAAGAATATTGCCCTAATGTGTTAAGATAAGTGAGATACTTGTGGCAGAAAGTGTCTTGGAGTATTGCCTGAGCTAATCATTGAGTCCACTCTAACTTCTCAGTGCGGAAAACAAAAACCTTCCTCCGACAGAATCCCCGCATCTCTTAACACTACCTTCGACCGCTTTCCTCAGAGAGTGTGGCCAAAAGAGGCCTGATTTATAACTAGAGGAGTCATGTAAAATAAATCTAGTTCGAGTGGGTTGTAGCATTGCATTGTACTCCTCTGAGTAACTAGCTTCTCAAACAACGCTTTCTTTTTCATGACAAGAAAGATGCGTGGTATAAGGTGGAAAGTCGATTCATTGTGTGAGATTCAAGTTGCCTATTTACTGATTTTGATGTGAACGAGACTTGCCGCGATCGTGTAATGTTGAAACGAGAAAAGCAGAACTTTAGCTCTTTGTGGCAATTATGTGACATGCGTGACAATTTGCTGAGCTAGTTCAATCGCTATTTATTAATAGGACGACGACACGGGATGGAGACGAATTCCCCGTTCATTTTTTCTCACCTCCTCCCAAGCTTCCTCCAGCATCCATCAGTCCTGGAACTAAGAAGGAAACAGAACTGTGATAAGAAAACATGTCCGCCTCGTGCGTACCTGTTTTTTTAGGCTAGAAACCGGTGACTCTTAAAACTAAAGGCTAAGAAGTATCATGACGTATTCCTATTTATCTTAGACTATTAGTTCAAGTTAACGATAGAAATTTCCAATATCTGCTGTTTCTACAATCCTGTCAGCTATGTTTGTAAGAACAATCAACTATTCATAATAAAGAGATAATCATTGAAAACGTCTTCTCGATTGTAAACTACACGGTAAGAGGAGTTGTTAGAAAACGTTAATGGCGAGCGAATAAAAGGGACTGCTCTATGGGAAGTCTGCATTGGAAGTACCATGATTTACAACCAATCAGCATAAGTTACACAAGAAAATTCTATACCTTTGAAATGTACTATCTTCTCCTGTTGTTGACAAATATAATTTAACCCTATCAGTTTTCATAAACCCAGTATTTACTACAATGACGGACGTTGAAAACCTCTGAGGATATATCGTTTGCAATTCATTATAAAGGGCCCGGTGCACCCGATGCGATATCAAGTAAGACTTGGGTTTAATGAGGAAAATTATCTTAAAATAAAACTGACCTCTGGAATGTTGCAATACTGCAACTGTATTCAGGCATGCATAAAGCAAATTTAATTTTTAACCTTGTTGGAAATCGTCAGATTTTTTGCTTGAGTTCTCTGTGCTTGACATACCTCGTATGATATTTCCATGGCGGTGGTGCCCTGTTTATATTGGTCAACCACAAGAAAAGAACGAGCTATTACTCAGGTGAAAGAGAGAAGACTACGATGACTGTTCAACAGGAATTGACAAGCACTAATCATCACAAAGACGATGAAACTGTCAGTTTTGAATTGATGAAAGAT